CTTACAAATTTTCATAACTGGTAACCTTCATTTTATCATTGCAGAAAAGTTGTTGGAAATTATGTCTGGCTAATAAGTGGTGCGTTGATTTTCTTTGATATAAAGCAACAATTTGGATGCTCATTGGCTATTCTTTTCAGAATGCATTCCTCTATGTCACGGGGTGATGTAGAACTAACCACACCCACCCAGTAGGCCACACCCACTCCATCCACGCCCACCCAGTAGGCTGCACCCACTCTGACCACACTCACCCAACCCCCCCCCCCAGGGCAACCGCAATGCTGATGCGGCCCTCAGTGAAATTGAGTTTGACACCCCTGAGTTAGAAAGTCTGATGGAACTTTTTTTTATCAATAGTCCCACAAACATGTGGCGAAGGCTGAGAAGTGAACGGAGAAACGGAATGCAGCTGAAAGGCAGGTTAATAAAAGGGGGGGAGGCGGGGGCGGGTGCAGCAACCTTACTCTGCACAGGTATTGATGCAGGTTGCTCGTGGACGGGGCTGACAGCCTAGGACAGGGGCGACAGTGCACGTGCCCACAGAGAGGGCTCTGCGTGCTGCCTGTGGCACGCGTACCATAGGTTTGCCACCACGGATGTATAATATAGGTGGTTTTTTACTTACAACCATTTGTTTAGTGACCATTTGAAGTTCCAACAACACTGAAAAAGATGGCAGTTTTTCACACGACCATTGCAGCAGCATCCTGGCAACTGGTGTGTATTTATTATATGGTTGCAGTGTTCCAGGGTTATGTCATCGTTGTTTGCAGCCCTCTGGCAAGCAAAGTCAGTGAGGAAGCCAGATTCACTTAACAGCTGTGTCCCTAATTTAACAACTGCAGTGATTCACTTGACAACTGGGCAAGAAAGATGGTAAAATGGGGCAAAACTCAACAACCGTCTTGCTTAGCAATGAAAATTTTGGGCTCAGTTGTGGTCTAGGATTATCTGTATAATAATAATAATAATAATAATAATAATAATAATAATAATAATAATATAGCCAAGATATTGTAATGGAGTTTGGCTTGGACAAATGTGCCACACTTACTATCAAACAAGGAAAAATAGTGAAAACTGAAGGAATCAAGATGCCCCACGAAAATAACATTAAGAGTCTGGATGAGGAAGAGTACTACAAATACTTGGGTATCCTTCAAGCTGACAACATCAAGCACACTGAAGTCAAGAAAAAGATTAGAGGTGAATACATCAAGAGAGTGAAGAAGATCTTAAAGTCCAAACTCAATGGAGGAAATACCATAAGGGCAATCAACACCTGGGCAATCCCAGTCATTAGGTACACAGCTGGAATAGTGGACTGGACTCAAGCAGAACTAAAAGCAATGGATAGGCAGACCAGAAAAATAATGACAATGAATCATGCCCTTCATCCACGCAGTGACATTGATAGACTTTATCTACCAAGGCAAATAGGTGGGCGTGGAATGCTACAAGTACATCAGATGGTTGAAGAAGAAAAAATGGCTTTGGAAGAATATCTGAAGAACAATGATGAAGATGCACTGAAATTAGTATATCAGGAAGGCTTACTAACTACTGGAGAGACCAAACTGGCCTACAAGAAAGACCAAATGAAGAACAGAATAGAGGCATGGGAAGACAAAGCACTACATGGCCAATACATGAAAAAAATAGCTGGGAAAGCAGATAATAATAAAACCTGGCAATGGCTAAGAGCAGGAAAATTGAAGAAAGAGACCGAGGGACTAATTCTGGCTGCACAAGACCAAGCCTTAAGGACAAATGCATACAAAGTCAAAATTGAGAAGACAGCAACAGACAGTAAGTGCCGCCTATGCAAAGAAGCTGAAGAAACAGTGGACCACTTGGTAAGCTGTTGCAAGAAGATTGCACAGACTGATTACAAGCAGCGGCATGACAAAGTAGCAACAATGGTGCATTGGAAGATCTGCAAAAAATATCATTTGCCTGTAAGCAAAAACTGGTGGGATCATAAAATAGAGAAAGTCATAGAAAATGATAAAATTAAACTGCTCTGGGACTTCAGAATTCAAACAGACAAGCACCTGCAACATAACACCCCAGACTTAACAATTGTCGATAAGAAAGACAAAAAAGTCTGGATAGTGGACGTGGCAGTGCCTGGAGATAGCAGAATAGAAGAGAAAGAACTGGAGAAGATAACAAAATACAAAGACCTACAAATAGAAATAGAAAGACTGTGGCAAAAGCAAGCAAGGGTAGTACCAATAGTCATAGGCTCCTTGGGCGCAATCCCAAAACAACTGGAGCACCACTTGAACACCATTGGCATTGACAAATTCGCTATTAGTCAATTGCAAAAGGCGGCCTTATTAGGAACTGCTTCCATCCTGCGACGATACCTGTAATACCATCAAACATCCACATCTGCCTATCCCAGGTCCTGGGTAAGGACTCGATAGGTAGACAAAATGCCAAATCCAGTCTGAACATCTGGCTGACTGTGCGATGATCGATAATATAATAATAATAATAAAGTTGGAAGGGACCTTGAAGGTCATCAGGTTCAACCCCCTGCTCAGGCAGGAAACCCTATACCATTTCGGACAAATGGCTGTCCAGTCTCTTCTTAAAAACTTCCAGTGTTGGAGCATTCACCGATTCTGGAGGCAGGTTGTTCCACTGGCTAATTGTTCTAACTATCAGGAAGTTCCTCCTTAGTTCTAGGTTGCTTCTCTCCTTGATTAGTTTCCACCTGTTGCTTCTTGTCCTGCCTTCAGGCACTTTGGAAAATAGTTTGACTCCCTCTTCTTTGTGACAGCCCCTGAGATATTGGAACACTGCTATCATGTCCCCCCTCGTCCTTTTCTTTATTAAACTAAAATATTTTTTATGAAAGCTGTACCCCACAATTCAATGTGAGAGTTTATTTTTGCAAAATAGGTCTCAGGCAAAAGAAAGCGCCATGTTTGAGGCCTTGAAAGTTCTGCCAGTTAAACATTGAGAGGACTTTAAATATACGGTGCTAAATGATTCCTCCTAATGCTTTAGGACAGCATTCCCAACCTTTCCAACTCTGTGGATCAGCAGCAGCGGTGGGAGGGGGGAAAGGGGATGGATTCGTGTACGTGCCTGCTACTTGCACTAGTGGAGCTTCATGCACAGGTGCGTCGCTTGCACAGAGGGTTGGGGAACTGTGTTTTAGGATATATCATGATCCCACCTATTCTCGCTGAGAAGTCATGGGTACTGGTCCAACATATCTAAAGGCCATCAAGTTGGAAAATTGCGCTACATCCATCTGGAAAATATTTCTTAGCGGCCTCTTTGATTAGCCACTCGTGATATCTAAAAACCAGAAGTACTGCAAATCATTCAACATTACCTTGTTTGTGATACCATAGGTTTTCTTGGACCAGTGGTATGTAAGGCATGCTGACAGATGCAATACATCGTAAATGTATGGAAAATATATTTAAATTACAGTCATTCACAAAGCATTATTGGCTGGAATGCCACATAAAAGAAGCGCATAGAAGACAGATGGCAAGACATGAACATGAACAAATTAAATGTGTTCATTTTTATTTCCTTGTGTCTGATCAGAATATAGAATATAGTTTTATGACATGTACTTTCCCTCCCTTCACAGGACTGGTTTTCAGTAGAGTAGTATAGAAGAGTAAATTGTATTACCTGCCCTTTTCCTGTTCGGGTTGTTCATATTTTGTCAGCATGGAATTGCAACAAGTAGTAGATATCAGGACTGGTACACATCAGCAAATAATAGTTCATAATAAATAACTGGACGGTCTCTGAGCTGCCATGCAACCTGAGGATCTGACAGCATTAGGCTTGGGCAGACATCCAGCCTTGTCTACAGCTAGTAACCTACACCATAGTGTTTTTGTAATACTGAACAACAAGCTGGCTGAACAAGCTGGCAGGATAATGCCAAAATCCAACCACTTGCACCTGAGGAACTGCGAGGTAATCCTAGTTGGTCCTTGTCAAGGTGCACATCTAAATGGTACCAGCCCAAATTACATACTGTATATATTCTGGCAGAGGATCTTTGTTTTGAGTGCTTTGCTTATTGTATAGTTTGTGTTATATAATATGACAGTTACTTATAGTCTCCTCATGGCAAGGTGTGACAAGTGTGGAATTGAGTCTTCTATGCCATGGGTGGAAGGCACTATTAAATGACTTTAGGAAGAGAAAATAAGGTTACTAATCATGCTTACAGGTGTTATTTATTGATTATTTAAATTTTTTGTTTTGCCTTGCTCTGCTACTGTGAATGGAGCTTCCTAAACAGCCAGTGTCCTCCTGTTTGTCTTTCAAGGGAGAAAAAAGCTGAAAATCTGATGGTCCTAGTTGTCAAGAATGGATCCAAAATTTCTAAATTTAAAAAATATGTGTGAGAGAGTGTAAGCAAAAGAGAACCTAGAACTTAGAGCTCCTGTTGGAAGTCAGGTTGAAGGAATAAGAGAACTCGGTAAATCCTTCCTCTTTTCAACATCTGTTGATAAATCCTTCCCATTTGTAATGGCCTCCCATTGTGGTAGGTTTGCATCGTGTTCGATCCATGACAGTAACCTTTCTTCCTGTAGTTTCTCTTGAGAAATAAAACTTGATAAATAAAACTGGTCTGATCCTAGAAGGAGGTCATACTTCACTTATACAAAAGAGAGGTCTCTGCTTCGACAGTTAACAGAGTTCAAGCAGCAGGGCTGGGAAAATTGTCAGCTTGAGACCAAGTAATCAAAACAAGCAACATTGTGTAAGACAGATCAATGGTCTGACTCAGTGGAACAATCCAACTTCATATTTCATTGCTGAGCTAATAATCAAGTGGGAGATTGCGAGTTTGGAGTAGTCAGTCAAGTTGAGCTGGAGATAATTAATTGGCCAAATTTTCCATCTGTGGTCTTCTAACTCTTCTAACAACTGCTTCCTGGTTGGCATTCTTTATCCATGCACACCCTGATTTAGGCCTTTCTTCTTTCCTGCTCTTTGTACAGCTGCCGAACCAGTAACAGAAAAAGCCT